TCCCCCCAAAGTCCATGTGCTGGAAACTTAATTGCACAGTATTAAGAGGTAGGACCTTTTAAGAGGCAATTAGGTCATGAGGGTGGCGCCCTCCTAAATGGCTCAATGCCTTTCAGGAGTGAGTTAATTCTTGTGGGAGTGAGTTCATGCCCTGAGGTACCCGCTTGCCCTTCTGCTCTCCTGCCATGTTATGACACAGTACGAGAGCCCCTGCCAGAAGCTGCCACCATGTTCTTGGATTTATCAGCCTCCACAACTGCAAGGCAAATAAACTTATTTTCCTTATAAACTACCCAAGTCCGGGGATTCTGTTACAGCAACAGATAAACAGACTAAGATAGATAGTTAAGGAATGCTTCTTCCCGGAGGAAGCGGACTTTGAAGGGAACTCATGGCATGATGTGGCCAGGTATAGACGCCATGGCAGGGAAATAATCATGCGGGAAGAACTGAATCAGAAGATTCTACCTACCACTGCCCCCTCAGCCAGCCTGCTGCTGAAGCTGGAAAGCTCCCATCTTCCTAAGGAGGAAAAGAGCGTGGGACAATACTTAAGCCAACATGAAGGGGCGAGATTTCCTATTTTGATCTTTGTTGCCAAACCAGCATTTGCAGCTGAACCACAATCTCAAGAAATGGGCCAAGATCAGGTGCACAGTGAAGGCTATGAGGACAGCCTCACCACTCAGGGCTCCGGGCACAACGCCAGCCACTCACACAGCATGTGAGACATGACTGGGGCTCCTCGTCCAAGACTGACTGCACGCTTTATCTGCACAGACACTTTCTTGGCTCACAGAATTCTTTTGGAAAAGAAACTATTCATTTGTTTTCTTTTCCGGCAAAGCCTCCGGTCACTGGGTCAAGCCATGCGGACACAAGCAGAGAGGGGAGCAGAGACACAACACCACCAGGGTGTTGGACAAGGGTAGGAAGTGGCCCCATTGCTCCTGGGGATAGCCAGGGGATGCAGGAGCCACCAGCTGTGGGAATCGCTCCTTCCAGCAACAGCCAGCTAGCCCCTCCGTCCCAACACACACACACACAGTTATGCTGTAGTTTCTGATGACAGGGATTAAAGCTTCCTTGTCCTTCTAGGCATAGCTTTTGGGGTCACACCTACTGTACTTCATTGGGTGAAATGACTATATTCATAGCAGGAAGGCAGAGGGAGCTGCCACAGAGGGACTTATGCCGTTTTGCTAGTCAGAAAGTTAAACTTCTCTAACAAAAGTATCAGCTGCTTCATTCCTTTCACTTTGCATTTTAAAAAAATATCAACCTCTGCAGAATTTGAAACTAACCTCTAAAAGGGATTTAAAAGAGCTATTATTAAAAGTGCCACACAGAGGGGTAGATTGCTTCCCCGCAGGCCAGTATCACTGTGGTTTACTGGCTATAGGATACCTGTACCAGGGGCATTTTTAAAGGTCTGGGAATTAGGGTACAGAATAATTTCCTTCTGACCTTTTTCCATGTAAATTCACTTAAGGGGCTACCGGATTAAAAATTAGAATAAATACTAAAGGACATTAACCCCAGCTACTCGGGAGGGGAGGCTGAGGCAGGAGGATCACTTGAGCTCAGGAGTTTGAGGCAGCAGTGAGCTATAATGATGCCACTGTACTCCAGACTGGTGACAGAGCAAGACATTGTCTCTTAAATTTAAAAAAAGAAAGAGAAAAGGAAAAAAAAGAAAGTACAAAAAATATGACCGATTCCTAGGGTTTGGAATGGTCTTCGAGAGCTGGTCTTAACTATCTCCTTGTCTCAAGCAGAAACCCTGCCTACCAACAGCAGGAAAAAATCCACCTTGATTTTCAAGCTCCCCAGGAAGGGTGCTGCTGTGGCCCTCCCGTCTCCAGGCCCCTTATCTCTGCTTCTTGTGTCCATCTCTTCTGAGATCCCTCCCTTCATCAGACGCAGTGAAGACCCCCAGCCCTTTCCTACACTGTCACCGCCCCCAACCTTGCCACTCACTGTTGACCAGACCATAGCTTCCCAATTCTCCCAGAATCCTGACTTCTTCACAACTATTTCTGGAGGCCTCAAACAAATGCTGCAAGTATTTGGACATGCCCCTGCCACAGGCCTAGTTTTCCCTCTCAGATTTCAGCTGACAAAAGGGTGACAGTGAGCATTTCAAAGAACCCAGACAGACACTAAAAGCAGCAGAAAGTGATTCCTTCAAAATGCCATCATTACTCCCCTCCCCATACTTACAGGGGTTTTTTGTTTTGTTTTGTTTTGAGACAGAATCTCACTACGTCTCTTTTGGTAGAGTGCCGTGGCGTCACAGCTCACAGAAACCTCCAACTCTTAGGCTTAAGCCTTCTCTTGCCTCAGCCTCCCAAGTAGCTGGGACTACAGGTGCCTGCCACAATGCCCTGCTATTTTGTTGTTAGTTGTTTAGCTGGCCCGGGAGGGGTTCAAACCCACCACCCTAGGTCTCTGTGGCTGGTGCCATAATCACTGCTATGGACGCTGAGCCATGCTTACAGTTTCTTTTCATAGTAATCAGCTGTCACTCTTCATAAAATCTCAAGGACTGGAATTTTCCTATAAACCACAGAGGGCTCCCTGGGGAACTATCACAACCATGCACTTTGCTGTGCAAAGATGTAAATAGTGACCCAAACCACTGCTCTCTCTTCTCGAGTCAGTGACTCACATCCCAACTGTGCTGCCAATCACAGTTCAAACGTGCAAGTCCAATGTGCCCCAGCTGCACCCAGCCTCGAAACGTCCCCAGTTTTGCTGAATTCTCAGTGACCAGTATGATGTGTCTCTCAAGCCTTTCAGAACCTCTCTCCAGAAGCAGGACTGCCTACAGGACCTCACCATCTGGCTCCAACCAACAACTGACACGCACTAGATCCGTGCTTACACTCTCCCCCTCCTCCTTTGAGATTTGAACCCAAATCCGACCACACTTCTCACCTGCTCTTTGATAAAAATGGGACATGTCATTGCTGCTGGTCAGGATCCAGGACTGGTTGGTCTCCAGCCCTGGCTTATCTAGGTTCCGGACACAGACCGCTATGCTACTTTGCTCAGTAACAATTGCTCTTAGGTGCCTGAGGGCTATTTACCTTAGCAGGAAGGAGAGAGAAAGAGATAGATAGTCTTTGAGGGTGAAGTAGTCTTAGAATAGATCTTAGTCTTTAGCAGAGCATAGTGAGCTTCAGCAGAGAGACGCCGTGCTGGCATTCTGAGGCAGGAGAAGCGACAGAGCGAGAGTAAGCGGGTCTGTAAGAAATGTGCCTTCTCCTCCAGCCTAATATAAGGCTGATCTCATGCCTCTCAACACCACAGGTGTAGAGACTGCCAATTCACCAATGGTCTCATCTCATGAGCTCTCTCATGCTTTTACGAGACCTAAAACCCTCCCCATGCCCTTTTCACCAAGGTGGGTCATTATTGAGCTACAGGTGTTACTTATAACTCTCACTCCTCCTAGCCATAAGCTATATGGGCTGCTACAGGGACAACCTTGGTAAGGAAGGCATAGGAGACCATATGCTCCACCTCTGCCTGCCTGCCCAGCCTCAATGCCCCCCTTATACAATAAGCTGAGGAGCAGCAGGCAACTTGCCCTCACCTCTGTGCTTCTTTGCTTCTGCTGGCTGATTCTTCTGTCCTCTGCCTGGCAGAGGCCTCAGTGCTCTTTGAGCTCTGGGGTTCAAAGCAGAGCTCCTCACATAGACTCAGAAGCTCCTTCTCACTGCAGTCTTAATTGTGTGTTTCTACCACCGTCATGAGACCAACTTTACTGTTTCTCACCAACAATTCTTCCAGTGTTGGCCCTTACTGGCCTCAGTCTTCTTACCTGTAAAATGGGTATAATAATTTAACATATCTTTTACCATCATTGAGAAGATTGATCCCGGGAAATGGCAGTGAGTGTTTGGGGAAGTGGGAACAGGGGGAAAAGTAGGATACTCAGACAAAGTAGGATACATTCATGAGCAGGGCTGCTGGAGTTGTATCCTACTGGAAGCCCCTAGGAGAAACAGTACAAACACCCCAGAGGGGAGGAGGCTTGGTATTCATCAAACATCTCCCCTTTATTGTCAGTTGCAGGTTGATCATAGGGGCATCCACTCCCTGGCACTCTGGCCACACATGTGCCAATCATGTTCCTATGGTCAGAGAAAAACCCCTGAGCAGATGGGCTCAGGCATTTGCAGAAGTCCCTTCTCTTGGGCAGGAGGCAGACAGCACCGGATACCATCTACCTCCTGCTCTGCCCTGGGCTGGCTGAGTGAGCTTGGCTCATCTAGAAAGTAGTTGTATTTAACTAGGTGGTTGCCCAGTCTCTTGTGGTGGGCGCCTCAGTCAGCCCACATCCCCCGTGGCGGGGCACCATTAAGCTGCCAGTCTGGTCTCTGAGGGTGGGGCGGTCCCTGATACTAGAGCAGTGCTCAGCGCCTGCTAGCCTCTGAGTGCACCCGGTTGACCGGCCACTGGGAGGAAATGGTGCAGAATGAGACAGAAGGAAACCCTGACATTTAGATGCAAACCCAACCAAGGGACCCCAAGCAATGGAAGCCAGTGACCACAGAACTTTGGAGCTGCGTGCATGTTGTGGTCTCTGTGTGTATGACACTTTCAGATTTCACAGTTCAGATCCAGAAATGGCAATGTGTAGGAGCTATGACATTTTTATATTAACTGTATGTGGGCGTCTCCTTACCTTACGTGACTCAGAGCTGGGGCGGGCCCGGCTGAACTGCAGTCGGCGCCCCTCTGCACCTGGCGACAGGCTCTTCGCCCTCTTTGCTGTGCCCACGCAGTGCAAAACCTTGGGGACCAAGAGATGTCTTGAAAACCTAAACAGATACTGTCTTTATCACAACTCAAACCAGTCAATAAGATCAAGCCGCACAAAGAGACCAAAGCGACACCGTCTCCACCCGCGTCCTGCCCAGCAGCTCAACCACACTCCCCAGAGTTGCGTCCCCGCCCACCGTCAGGGCCCAGGTGGGCACCAGGGTTACCTTCTGCAGAAATGCCATCCTTGGCCTGTACTGCTGGCCTTGGTGTCGGATTGTCATCCTGGACCCTGGATGAATTCACGATCAGAGCACTGTTGGGAGGGGAGAGCAAGTTGCCCCCAAGTCAAAGGCCAGGGCGCCTCGCCAGGCCCGGGCGTCGGCAGCGAGGCGGCGGGGCGGGCAGGGCTGCCTGCGGCCGCAAGAAGCTTGCTGGGTGCCGGCAGGCTCGGGTAGCCGGGGAACCCGCGCCAACCAATCAGCGAGCGCCGCCGTAGACTCATTAGCATGCGCTGTGCGTGCGCCCATCCGCCACGAGGGGGCGGTGTCCCGCTCCGCCCGCGGCCGGGAGGCTTAGGTTGCGAGCACAGGTCAGGGCCAGTGGGTGGGAGGACCTGTCTTAACAGGGCGAACCTTGAAAAAGTGAAAAAACAGTATGCAACGGGCATTGTGTCCTTGACTAGCCTTCCCCTACACCGGCCATTAGCAAGTTACTTAAACTTCCTGTCAGTTTTCTCATCTAACCTGGGAAAAGCAAGTGAGAGGGTGGGAATGACACCCATCAGGTGCTGTACTGACTGAGTGAATAACTGAGTTAAGACCGGCAGTGAGTGTGATTGGTGGGGAAGAATGCTGCTCACCTGCCAGATGGGGGGCTCTGAACGCCCCGTGTGCCACTTAGCTGTGGGATCAAAGCAAGTTATGGAACCTCTCTGAGTTTCCTTTTTCTCAGCCTAACAGTGAGAATAATTGCACCCTCCAGATGGAGGATGTTTTGTTTGATTGTGGTTTGGGCTGGATTGGTTTTTTTTTTTCACGTAAATGCAAAGTAAACTGACATGTTTACAAACTTGTGTTTTCCTAATCAAAAACAAATACACTAGGAATTATATTTGCTACTAATACAGAAGATTAGATGTTCAGGAATTTTTTTTTTTTTTTGAGATAGAGTTTTACTCTGTTCCCCTGGGTAGAGTGCCCTGGAATCATAGCTTACAGCAACTTCAAACCTTTGGGCTTGAGCAACTGTCATGCCTCAACCTCCCAAGCTGGGACTACAGGTGCCCACCACAATTCCAGGTTAGTTTTCCTATTTCCGTAGAGGCAGGGTCTCACTTTTACTTAGACTGGTCTGGAACTCCTGAGCTCAAGGGGTCCTCCTGCCTCCACCTCCCAGAATGCTAGGATTACACACCTAGCCCAGAAAAACTGTCTTTTAAAAATAATTTTCATTTCAAAATATTAGGGGATACAAGAGTCCTTATTACATGGATGAATTGTGTAAGGCCAAAGTCAGGGTTTATTGGGCCGATTACCAGAATGGTGAACATTATACTGGACCCAACAGGTAAGGTTTTATCCCTCATCCTCCCTCCCCAATTTTGGTTTTAAGATAACAAAGCTAATGCATAAACAAGCACTTAGAATTGTGACCTATACATGGTGAATGTTCAGTAAGCAATAATTTCTGTATGTCTCTTGGGATTCTTTTTAAAAAATTACCATGCCTGGCCAGGTGTGGTGGCTCATGCCTGTAATCCTAGCACTCTGGGAGGCCGAGGCAAGTGGATTGCCTGAGCCCACAAGTTTGAGATCAGACTGAGCCAGAGTTAGACCTCCTCTCTAAAAATAGCCCAGCATTGTGGCAGTGCCTGTAGTCCTGGCTACTCAGGAGGCTGAGGCAAGAGAATCGCTTATGCCCAAGAGGTTGAGGTTGCTGTGATCTATGACACCATAGCACTCTACCCAGGGACAAAAGTGAGACTCTGTCTCAAAAAAAAAAAAAAAAAAAAAAAAGTACCATGCCTGGTGGTTCCATTATACACATAGTCTGATGTATATATATTATATACACATAGTCTTTTATATACTACATACACATAGTCTTTGATATGTACCATGTATACACATAGTCTGATATACAGGGCGGCCATTAAGTTAGTGTGCGATTTAAAATAGTGTGCACACTATGTATTGTTTTCAGAATACGATGAGAACTCCTGGAGTAGGAACTGGAGGTAAGAGTATAGACTCTGGAATCTGATTACTTGGGGCCAAATCTCAGCTCCGCTACTTATCATCTGTGTGACTTTGGGCAAGTCACATAGCTCCTCTGTGCTTTAATTTCTGTAAAATTCAAGTGATGCGATGACAGTCCCTACCTTTGAGCAGGGCTGTTAAGGGGAGATAAAATAGTAAAGAATCAATAAATAGAAGTTGTTACTGTTATTAATATTAAAATTATTAAAGATCATGTACAGAGAGTGTAATATTAAAATTATTAAAAATAACAAATTTGGAATGCTAGCTATTTTTTTTTTGAGACAGTATCTCCCTCTGTTGCCCTGGCTAGAGGGACATGGCATCAGCCTAGCCCACAGCAACCTCAAACTCCTGGGTTCAAAGAATCCTCCTGCCTCAGCCTCCCAAGTGGATGGGATTACAGACACCTGCTGCAATGCCCAGCTAATTTTTCTATTTTTAGTAGAGATAGGGTCTCCCTCTTGCTTAGGCTAGTGTCAAACTCCTTGAGCTCAAGGAATTCTCCTGCCTCAGTCTCCCAAAGGGTTAGGATTACAGGTGTGAGGCACTGCACCTGGTCAGCCATCTAACTCTTTGATAGGCTGAGATCCCCCACATTTAACTCTTGGGATTTTCAGGATCAGAGGCCAGCCCATCTTTTATTTTTAGCACTAGTTGGACTGAGCATGACAGACAAAGCTGATTTCCAAAGAGAGCATGTGGACCTTTGTCATAGAGGTGCACTCAGCAGGTATCTCGTCAGATCATCTGATTCCCATCCTTGCGAAAGAACTAAATTCCCACTACACTATCCAGACATCTTAGCTCTGAGTTAAGGTGCTCAAATAACTGTCTCAGAAATCAGACACTGAAGTCTGGTTGACTCATAGGGAAACGACTTGGCAGGAAGCCGTGAGATGTAGCCTCCAGCCTCCAGCGCGGCTACTCTGTGGCGTTTGGCCAGAGGGAAACCGCTCATCTCATCCAGGTTTTCAAATGTATTTGGATTACCTTTGATTACCTCCCTCATTCTCTTATTTTTCTGATTTGGGCTGACTGTTTTGTTTTGTTCTCATTTTGTTTTAGAATAGATAGTGATTTATCTATTATAAGTTGTATATATATTTTTTTCCTTTCTTTCTTTTTTTTTTTTTTTTAAGGCTGGGTATAGTGGCTCACACCTGTAATCTTAGCACTCTAGGAGGCTAAGGGAGAGGATCCCTTGAGCTTAGGCTTTTGAGACCTGCCTGACTAAGCAAGAGGGAGACCCGGTTTCTACTAAAAATAGAAAAATTAGCTGAGTATTGTAGTGGGTGCCCGTAGTCCAGCTACTTGGGAGGCTGAAGCAGGAGGATCACTGGAACCCAGGAGTTTGAGTTTGCTAGAAGCTAGGCTGACATCAGGGCACACTCTAGCCTAAGCAACAGAGTAGTACTCTGTCTCAAACATAAAAACCAAAATAGTGTGAGAGTGTGACAGCAGTCTGGAAACTAGCAAAAAACTGTAAGTATTCAGAGTGATGAATTTCCTTCTCTAACAATGATCTAATCAACTCTAGTTGTTTCCTAGATGAGGGAGACAGCATGGGGTAGTGAAAAGTGACTAGGACTAGGACTCACGACACTAAGATTCTGATCCCAACTCTGCTGCTGACAAATAAAGGGACTTCAGACAAAGCACAGTCACTTTGCAAAGCCTGGACTACGGTTGATCCATGTTGTCCCCAAAGTTTGCTTTACAACCAACACTTCTCAAACGTTAATGCAAATACTAAGTCTCCTACGGATCTGGTTAAAATGCAGATCCTGATTCAGCAGGTCTTGGGTGGGGCTGAGATTCTGCATTTCTAACAGGCTGCCCTGGGATGCCTAGGAGTGACCTTGATCTGAATAACAAGGATCTACAAAGCAATGAGGTGGACGGGAGGGTCACAGTCAAACACATATAGAAGTTTGTGTGTTTACTACATTTCAAAGAGATTATTTACTGCAGTACCCCCCAAAGCCTGTAACATAATTCTGAAGAGATGACTGGAGCAACCCAGAAGAAAAGTTTTTCAGAAAGACAAAGGGCTGAGTGTGGTGGTGCAGCCTGTAGTCCCAGCTACACACCAGGCTAAGGCAGGAGGATCCCTTGAGCCCAGGAGTTTAAGGCTGTGGTGAGCTATGATCATGCTGCTGTAATTCAGCCTGGGTGATAGAGTGAGACTCTATCTCTAAAAAGGAAAGACAAACGTCTTTGTTCTGTCTTGTATAAACAGTGCAACAGAGACAACGAGAGCAGCTGGTTTCCCCACGATCATTCTTCTCCCAGATGAAGGGATGGTGTCCCACCATTTGTAAACCTCATTCCCGGAAGACTGCTTTCACCCACAGCTTCCTTCACTTTCCTGCCTCACCCATTAGCTCATATTTTGGACCTCGTGACGCGCCCCGCAGACTGGTGTCAACCTGCCACCTGGCCAGGTGTAAAAGGATGAACTGGACCAACCAGATAATCACTCTTGGAAACAGCCACTTGAGCCAGTTAGTACAGGTGGACACATTTGAGAAGACTTCAGGATGGAATCAGGGTCATGATAAGGCACAATCATATTCAAGGTCAAGTATAAGGAAGACAAACTGAGCGTGGAGTAGAAGGGAGCAGAAGCCAGCAGAGCAGAGATGCCCGGGAACGCTGAGCAATGGACGTGAAGGCCACTGCGGCTGTCGTTAGGTACAAAGAGCAAGTTATGTCATCTCCACAGTCACAACGACCCCGAAGCTACGACAGCAACTTTTGGGGGAATGATTGGCTATAAGTACATTAAATATTTAAATCTTATTGGAAGGATGAGTGGGAGATGGCTTGAGGAATTGGACAAAGTAGGGGAAAAAAGGAAAAAATGAACACTGCCCACCACCCAAGATAAATAACTCTGCTTATCAAACTGGTTTTTTTTAACCTACGTTGTTTTATTTCCGTCCATAACACCTTCAAGAGGGAGAACAGTTTGGTGAGTTGCATGCAGGGTTGATAAAATTCCTCCATCTTGCTATCTTTACAAGACCATCCCTGGCAGAATGGTAATGAACTATATATTAGGAGGACCCTAGAGGGACAGAAT